GCAATCATTAAGTGAGGCACCACTGTAATAATGGAACATGGCAGGAACATACGGAGGGAAATGCAAGAGATGGGCACTACCCATTGATGCAGTATGCATTTTTAAGCAATTGTAGTTTAAGTAACTGTATACTGATTTATCACATTTGCTGTACACATATTTCTTCTTTTCCCCCTCATGACTTCCAATCAACGTACCCTCTAATTTTCAGCTCTGCCGGGCGGAGCTCCACCTCTCGCGTGCACGGCTTCGTCCCTGCGTGCATGCATGACTCCCCCCCCACACACACACACACACTTGGTTCCATCATGACCAGAACCTCACGTGATCGCTGAGTGGAGAAGGAAGTGAGCTGTGTACAGGGAAGCGGAGTCGTGCGCATGCACGCACCCAATTTAGTGGGAACCTTGCTTCCAATTTCTATAATCACCCTAAGGCATGGACAGCACTGATGTCCTCTTGAGTGTATCGTCGGCCAAGTGTTACCTTTGTGTTGGCTTGCTGTAATGTCCTGCGGGGTACACCTTGCCCAATCTGCTTCGGCATCTGTGCTGGTGGGCGTGGGAGTGAACCCAAGTCCTTCAGAGCTCACAGGTCTGGAGTTGCTTGAGGGGGACATGTTGTATGTAGAAGAATACCTGCAGAAAAGCAATTCATTAAGAAAGAGTGGAAATTTAGGAAAAAGAATAAGCTGGCTAAGAAGCCAGAGGCAGGCACAGGGGCCCTTTGCAATGAATCAGGCAATCACACAGGGCAGAAAGTAAAGAAAAGAGCAGCGAATCAGAGCAAAATTAAACCAGTCCTACTACCTAAAGAAAAAGAGAAAATTCCTGACTGAAGAGATGATTCCCCACTGAGCTGCCTCACACAATGTGTAGTCAACAGTTTTTAACTCGATTTCATCTCTGCCAAATCTGAAGAAACTGCAGGGTAAATGGCCAACATAATCACCCCCATTTATGTAATCCCAGATATTTTTGCCTCTGGTATCACTAAATTCTCTTGGTTTGCTGCAGGAGACTAATACAGCTACCCCCTTGGCTGTAGTCCCCAAAGTCCCTTTTCCACGCTTTGGCCTGGTCTGCCCCAATTTCTACAGGGTATGCTAGCTGGCTGGAGGATTTGTTTTATTTTATTTACATTTCAGGCTGCCAGCCTAGAAGATAACAAGTAAAATGTAACACAGGTCAATACCTTCTCTGCAAGAGTCTGGCTGCTCTCTCCTGCAGGCTCACAGTCTCGGGGTCCACTGCAGAAGCATCCTGCGGGCTTCCCTGCAAAACAATACACAAAGGAAGGGGTCAGGATGGGAAAACTGCTCTAATCCTGGCAGTGGGGAAGGGGGAAAGTATTTTGGTCTATAGGTAGGTTCCACACTGCAAGTCAAGCAAGCTTATATGCAGGAGCAATATAAAAGCCAACCAAACAGACCAGGAGAAAAGAACATTAATTCACTTATGTAGACAAACACAAGCTAAGGACAAAAAGAAAACTACGCGAATACAAAATAAATCAATAGCAAAAACAAGGATAATTGTGATGACAGAAGACTTTAAAAAATACCTGCTGGACTTTCAAGGCAAGCAGCCAGACCAGGACCTAACAAGATTTCCCTTACCTGGACATTTGGAACCTTAAAAAACAATTTTTTCTGGATAAAGAACAAAAAATTGACTCAGAAAAACAAAGCTAATCCTCCTTGTATGTGACAAATGCCATGGTATCACATTCATTTGTGAGTCCCCAAAGCTGGGACAAGGGTCATGCAGCTGTATTTACATATACCACCTGGTGACATTCATATTCTGCCCTTCCACTAAGTAGGTCAGGACACAATATATGAAATTATCCTAATTTAACACTCAAAAAGAACCCTGTGAAGGAGGCTGGACTCAGAAATCAAAACCAATGCAAAATTATGCAATGAAGCAGAAAAGATACTTGAGTTCAAACCTTCCCACGGCAAGAACAGTATTTTTCAGCCCTATGGTGCTGAGCTTGCCAGTCATTTCAAAACAAGATAAAAGCAAAAAGCAAAGTGTGCTGCTTATATACCGCCCCATAGCACTTAAAGCACTGACTGGGCAGTTTACTAGTTAATTATACAGGCTACACATTGCCACCCCAGTGAGCTGTGTATTCATTTTACCAACCTCGGAAGAATGGAAGGCCGAGTCAACCTTAAGCCGGCAACTGGGACTGAACCCCAGGTAGTGAGCACAGTTTTGGCTACAGTACAGCAGTTTAACCACTGCGCCGCGAGGCTCAAAGATAATAAGAGATCAAAAAGTCTGAGCTAACATGGCCATCCTAACAGCTAGAACAAACCCCACTAGAGAGCACCTCCATACTCACCAAAGGAGACTGATCTTGTGTAGGGCTGGAGAAAGCCACTCTCACTTTATTCTGGCTACTGTCTGCAAAGAAAGGTCTTCATTCAAGGTCAAGGACTCACAAAGGTCAGAAATCTTTGCAATTAGGCTACAGCTAGTGTCCAGGAGGCCCCTGCAGGCTGCAAAGTTTTTGACTCTCTTATATGTAGGTAGGCCTGCATAACTCCCCCCTCAATGTATGCTTCCCTAAACAACTTCCAACGTAAGGACCATGAATCTGGGGTTGATAGAGCCCCAGTCCAGCTCTCTGATCCCTCCCCAAGACTATTATTTGGTTGTTTACCTGTTTTTGTATGTTTTTCCCTAATTCTAAAATGCATAAATGCATCTCCTAAGATTTATTTAACAGCAACCGCTTTAAGTTAAAATGTGTTGATATTTTAATCACACCCTTTTCTTTTTACCTTTCATTGGAATGAGGCCTCCAAAAATGTTACCTTTGAGATGAAAGAATTTTAATTAATTTATTTAAATTATTTCTATACCCATACTTGTTCAAAAACACACTGAGAACAGGTCAAAATGAAACCTATGGGTGAGTTGATAGACTGGCAGCAGTAAGTGCTAGGATAGCTTAGAATAATCAGCTGTGGCAGGGCCTCACCGGGACCCTCAATCCCTATTCTCTAAGCACCCTTGCTTTTATTTTTTTAAAACAAGCCTTAGATCACATATCAAGTTAACTTACAGTTGCAAAATGAAGAATTATATATTGCTACTTCAATATGTTTGGCACACATATGCATCTCCAATGAGAAAAGCCAGTTCTGGGAAGCTGCATTTCCTGTTACAGCTGGGAATTAATGGGCAAGTGCTGGACAAAGACAAATGCCCTTTACAGTATGTACATCCTATCTATATCAGATATTCTCCAAATACAAAAATCCTGCTCCTTGTATAACTACCATTTTTATAACTAAGGCAGACCACTCAGTTTGGTTTGCCACAGTAAAAATGGTATGCTCAGAAAAGCTGTATATCTTTCTGGTTGGTCCTAAGTACCTGACGATGATGATGCCTCCTTCTTGGAAATGTTGCCTCCAGGAATAGATGAGTGGTCAAGCCACCAGAAGTGAGCGGAGGTATCACTGTTTGCCCCGCGGTCTCTACGGTTGGTGGGCTGTCCATAACGGAAGCGCTCGATATACCTGGCAAAGGAGGTACAACATGATTTCTGAGGAGAACAGTCTGGAATATATGTAATTATTAACCTCAGGTGTGTTGAACACCAAGCCCTTGAATAAAAACCAGTAAGGGAGAATAGAACATAACAGTTCTTTGAAGAGACGCAACTTGAATCCAGGACTCCCCCACCCATAAAAGGGTAAAGCAGCTCACCTGGCAATAACTGATTCACTGTCTGAGACTGAGTCCAGGGGCTTTGGTGAGGGCAATGACCTGATCCCCAATGCCTGCTCTGAGGGAAAACTGACTGCTCCCTCAGGAGTAAGGGCGGATGAACTGCGCTCCGTCGAGGGCCATGACTCATTGAATGGGCTTGTAGAGTCTGATTTAGCGGGTTTTGCCTCTTGGTAGCTGGAGTTAGGCAGGAAACCTGGATGTGGAGGGCTGGATGGTTCTGCCTTTTCAGGAGACGTGGGGCAATTCCTGTGCTGCAAACGAGACGGGCTCAGAACCTAGTTGGCGGGGAAAAGGAGTTTATAGAGTCAGCAATCCCAAAAGAGCTGGCTTGGCACTGGCATTCCAGAAGCATTCAAACACAGACATGAGACTGCAGTCTATCCCTGTAGCTCCTCCTAACAACTCTTTATTTTGCTCCCTCCCCCTCACCTTTCCTCCTAGGACATCATGCATGCCCCCTCCCTTTCTAAGCTCACGTTAACTCTCCTAGGCTCAGCTGCCCAAGAAAGGGTCTCAACTTAGATCCTTGAGTCAAAAGTCCAATATACTAACCACCAGATCACACCTGCCTCTTCCCAAATTTCACTCAGTTCCTCAAGAAATTAGTTGACAGCCCCTGAGAATAACAAATGTCTAGCTTACAGGCCTAAGATAACAGGGGTCAAAGTTCACGTTCCAATGCATAATCTGAAACTCAGTGCTTATGAAAGAGGAATCATGCCTCCTTTCTCTCCATCCACTCCATGAAATCGGATCACTAGAGATCAGATCAGTTTGATTCTGTCTGGAACATCTGTTTCCCCCTCTTCCCCCCTCCCCCCGTGACCCTGTAGCCTATTGTTGGCCCATCCCCATTGCCATCTCACCGTGTTTCGCTGCTCCGGCGACAGTGCTTGTGCCTGGGAGGGGTGATAATAGCTCCGTAAATTTGACGTCTCCAAAAATGGACTCCCCAGTGTGGAGAATACAGACAGAGGGCAAAATAAGGAATCCATATAAGCAGGGTGACTTGGCCTTGGCACTAACTAGTCCCCACTAGGATGAAAAAAATGACAAAATACCGAATCTTCAGAGTTGCAATGCTGCATTTAACATGTGTATTAAATACATAACATGTATTAATACAGTAGAACTCAGCCTTTGGAAATCAGGACTGCTTTTATATACAGTACAGACATGCCAAAAAGCAGAGTACTCACTGGCAACAAGATTCCAGCACCAACCCTGCTACTTGAAACCTATTAGCTAAAAACACTGGTGTTTGAACCCAAGGCTCCCTATACTGTGGGGCATTTAGCTGGCCATTATTGGGAGGGGGGGAAGTTGACAGCTAGGTCTCTGATCTAATACAGCAGGGCTGATTTTGCATTTTTAAATGTTACAGGGAATGAGGTGGTTGTGTTGTGGTGGTACAATTCTAGACTGTGCTGCTGCAGACAGAGACAAGGATTAGTTTTAAATGATTTCCAATTGTGGGCGTGGGGAGCCAAACAACAACAAAGTCCTGGATGCATACAATAAAATAACACTAGCAGTTCAAGGGCAGCTTTTCCCTGATACGCCAGTTTCATATACTATACAAAGGTTTTTAACACAAGGAAGCTTTCAAAACTCATTCTCCCTCCCATTTGAAATGTTGTAATCTAGTACTGTACCACTTCTTTCTGTATAACGTAAACTATGATGGATAAAGGATAGCACCTGCAGGTCCACACATATACTGCCCCTCTCGTTTCTCCTAGCCAGGCCAGGCTGTCCAGTCCCCTCCCCGTCTTTCCATGGGACATTCTTCTCTATCAAAGGTACACACCAGCTCTCATACTTGGAATCCATTGCTTTTCAGGAGATTTTTCAGCTTCTGAAGGACACAGAGTTAACTGCGGTGTAGATACTGTCTCTGACAATTTTCTTCATGGGGTGACAGGTCTCCCAAAAGTTGTGCTCTAAAGAAAGAGGTTTCAGTAAATTATCTGCCATATGTCTGCTTATTTGCATAACTTACTTGGCTTCCAAGGGCTCATGGTGGTTTCTTCCTTTCTCCCCATTGTTCCTTTATGTGGATACATCCTGTAACACCACCATTATCCATATATTATAGATAGGCTGAAGAGCTGAAGCTGATATACATTGGCTTGTCTGTGCATCTTTACCAAGCTCCTGCCTGAATTGAGAAATCCCAGCTTCTGTTTTTAACCATTGTTATTACTCTGACTCTCATACATAAATATGGCATGCAAACTAGCAAGATCGTTTCTCAAACCCTGTGCCTCCTTGACAACTAAAGACATATGACTCTGGAAGACTCAATGAAAGAGAGCAGGAGCTCAAGGGGTCAACCATTAAGAAGGCCTCCCAACACTTTAACTTACACCCGCTTTTCTCTACATTTGTCCACAGAACTGTATTTGCCATCTGACACCCTGTGTAGTTTATTAGACATGTAACTGAGCAGTGTGTACAAAAAGAACAATGATGCACCATTTGAAAAAAAAAGGAATCCATTTCCCAGGACATAATCTCAGAGTACAGGATGGAGAATACTGCTGAGGGGAAATTGCTCTGGGTCTGATCCATGCCTGGATTATCAAGTACCTAGACACTCTACAACAACCACTAGGAGTTCCATCATAGAAAGATGCGAATTTACTATATTTTAAAAAAATGCACATTACCAATCTGCACAGACTCTGAAAACCTTCCATTTTCCCTACAGCTAGGAATCTGTCCACTGCTTATCTATCAAAATGATAACAGCCACAACTTTCTCAGCTGCAAAACATTATTTCCTTCCGTTGGGAACAGCCCAACTTTGTGGAAGAGGGATAAGAGTACATTTCACAAAGACCAGGGCTGGACTTTCCAATAATCCCTTGTTGGTTAATCCAGGCCAGGGAACTTTCCAAGTCCTGGATATGCACTAACAATGAACCACTCCAGAAGGTAATGGAATCCAGGCTTGGCAAGGTTTCTATCGTAACAGAACTGTTACACAGCTTTCCGGGACTTCCAGCTTTGCTGGGGTTCAGAGCAAAGAATTCTTTGCAGCCACCTTAGCTCCAGCATGTGGTTGGGGAGGAAATTTCCACAGCACTTGTTTTTTCAGTGTGCCGTTGCCAAGGCAACCATTTTTGTGCTTTTTTTCCCCCCTGTAAAAGCATCCCATTCAGAAACCCTGCTGTACCATGAAGCAATAAACAACATGAATCCCCTTGTCTTGGGGAAATTTGTGACTCCAAATAACTTCTGATCAAAGGTAGAGCCATTTCTGTCCTAACATCTCCCTGTACAATTCTCACAGCTCAGCACCGGCAACAGAGGAGTATGGATTCAAAAAACAGCTTCTGCCCAAGGCAAAGCAAGCAATTGTCTCGGCTGGTATAGGCTGAAACAGACTTCAGGGCTTTTCTTCGAAAATCAGTGAGACTCCTGAGGAGGAGAGAGTCTAGCTCTCTAAAAGCACAGAGGAACTGGCCAGCCTGCAAGAGCATCTTTGCATTTATTGCAAAATGGAACTGTTCTGCAAGATATCCAAGAGCAGTGTGCCTGCAGCCCAAGGAAATGTATTTACACTGTATTCACGTGTTTTCACACCATCAGCCCTACAGTCTGAGAGAAGAGGATGGGAAGACAGCTCATTATTTACACTGATCTAACCTGTTCATGTGTTTTCACACCATCAGCCCTATAATCTGAGAGAAGAGGATGGGAAGACAGCTCAGGTTCTATTCCAAAAATACAGACTCTGTCCCTAACAGAGTTAAGTGGCCAATGGCCATATGGGAATGCTTCCTTGTTATGCTGATTACTGTGACAATCTCATCAGCTGCTACTTGCAACTACAGTTGCACCCTGTAGCCCAGGGGCAGGCGGAGACTGTCATTTCCCCTGAACCCTCTGCCTGGGAGACCACACGCACTTGTGCTGATGCCGAATCCCTTTTCTTTGCACTGTGTGTTTAAAGCCACATCCTGGCTCACATGATGACAGAGACAAAAGCAAAAGAGCTTCCCAACAGATACAGTAACCCTGTACACTCTCTTTGGTTGCTATACAGAGATGGAGAAGCCAGCACTACATTGTTTCTTGCAGTGTGTTTTTTTTGTCCTTGCTGGAACGGGTTTGTTTGATTCTGTGGCTCCTAGAGTTTGGGCTGGGGGGGTGGGTTACGATGGGTCTTGCAGTGTGTTTTTAGTCCCTGTTGGAATGGTTTTTTTTCCCCCCTGGCCGAAACGGATTAATCATGTTTCAAAGTATTCCTATGGGAAATGACGCTTTGAGTTATAACCAACTCGTGTTACGACCATCATTCCGGAACAGATTAAGTTGGAATGGTTTTTTTTCCCCCCTGGCCGAAACGGATTAATCATGTTTCAAAGTATTCCTATGGGAAATGACGCTTTGCGTTATGACCAACTCGTGTTATGATCATCATTCAGGAACAGATTAAGTTTGCAACTCAAGGCACCACTGTATGCACTTTTGAATAAGTGCTAAATTGATATCTTGTGTTGCTATACTTTCACAAATTGAAGATGTGCTGTGTAGTACTGTCGTTGTCTGGAACAACATGTTTACGGGGAGGAAAAGAGGCAGAATGCAGCATACATGGAAAGAAATTCCCCTTAAATTTGGAATGGGCTTTCAAACTACTAGCACATAATTTAGGGTACTCTTTTACTGCAGGTTTTTCAAGGGCCAGACATGTTTATTCAGCCTCCTAATTGAAAGTTCTTGATGTCTCCTAATTTACATAGCACAACAGAAACAATAAAAGTGGTGTGGCACAAGGAACTTCTCATTCCTCTGAGGCTGACTATGGAAAGAAATAAAAAATATCTGATACAACTTTTCCTCTTACTGTGTCTGTCACCGTTACAGTTTACCTCCAAATCCTGCAACCTGCCAGTGGGGTAGGAAGGAAAATAAACTAAGCAATGGCTCAAGGGCATCTGCACCTCTTTTAGATTATCACCAGATGAAAAGATTTTCTGCTCCTACATGTTGATATTGATATTCTGTGTCAACGGGCTAAGGCTGAACCCGGACAAGATGGAGGTACTGAGGGTGGGCACCCCCACAGTTGGGATTTTGGGAAGCTCCCTCTCTTTTGGGGGGGTGACTCTGCCCACCAGGGATGGGGTCCGTAGCTTGGGGATCCATCTGGACCCAGCACTTACTATGGAACTCCAGGTGGTGTTGGTGGTCCATACTGCCTTTTTTCATCTCAGGCGGATAACCCAGCTGCAGTCCTATCTTTATGTCGGGGTGCTCACTACCTTGGTGCATGCGCTCGTAATCTCAAGATTAGACTACTGTAATGTGCTCTATGTGGGGCT